AAAATGAGAAGAAAAACAATTTTGTAAAAAATTCATTATTCATTGAAAAATCTTTTTTTTAAACAGAAAAAACGATAACTATTTTTTTATTCATGAAATCCAATTAAAGATTTTGTTTTAAGTTTTATTGCATTTTTTTATTTTACAATTCCGAGCAGCTTTTCTCTAACTTGCTGTTCTAGATGATTTAAATTCTCTAAGTACATGTTCTTATAACAAATATAAACATTAACCCTTTGATCCCTGTGTTCCTGAACAATTTTAACACTTCTGCCTAAGCTTTCCAAAATAATTTCATTCATTTGTGAGTAAGTTCAGAAACTTTCATTAGAATATGATAATTATTTGTTTTTTAGAAGAATTTCTAATTCAATGTAGAAAGAGGCTCAAATTCTCTGTAAAATTTTTGGTCCCACATTGATGCCAGAAAAACAATATTTCTAATCAAAATTTTTTTGGTTCTAAAAAGGAAAAAAAAAACCGTTATAAATAAAAAAAATTTTTTGATATTTTTATATTTATAATAACAAAGATTTTAATAATAAAATTTAGTTTTTACTGTGTTTTTTTTATAATGTATTCTCATTTATAAAAAAAGGATAATTCCATAAAAATAGTGTCCCAAAATTAAATTCATTTGTTATAATGTAAAATTATGTTAAAAAATATTTCAGTTTTTTTTTTAATCAAATTTCTAAAAAATTTCCACTCTTAGAATCAGTTTTTGGAAATTTTACCATGAAATACTTGATGTTTTAATTAAAATTGATATTTAAAAGTTAAAAAATTTCATATAATAGCATTAATTTTTTAAATTATATTAATATTAGCAAATATATATATATATATATATATATATATATATATATATATATATTCCATGTAAAATGAAAACGAATAAGAGTCCAATTCCAACATTTGTAAAATTTAAAATTTTAAAAGGGATCTGAACAAAATAAAGCAATATTCAGTTTATTTTAAGGATATTATATCAACATCATGTTAAAAAAAAAAAACACAAATGCAGTCATATTTTGCAAATGGGAATTGAACATTTCATCAGGCGTTATATAAAATAACTAGTGATAAATATTTATTAATTTTAAATACATATATCTTTTCACGAGAAAAGAAATAAAAAAATAAATTAAGACAGAAAATAGAAGATGGTTGCAGGTTTAATTTTTGTTTTTACTCAGATCAACCAAACAGAATATATGTATGGAGTTAAAGTATGGTGAGAATTGAAAGTAAAATATAAATTTTAAAAAAAATAAAATATATGCAGAGATTTTGAAGAAAATAGAAAAATATGGACCAAATATATGATTGGATGTAAATTTTTAATATTAATGTTGATGATGTGTCTAGTCTATGTTTTTATTTAAATGACATTGATGATAAAAAAAGAAAAAAGGAAAACTGCAAGAAAATTAGATTTTTTACATGTTTTGATATATATATATAAAATAAATATATATATATATATATAAATATATATATATATATATATATGAAGAAAAATATATGGAAAAAAACAAACAAAAAATCCTAATATGCAATTATGCTGTTTTAATGTTAATATAATGTCAACGTCGGACGTTTTGGTCTAGTAGACCATCTTCAGGACATATTCATAAAAAAACATAATTAACATTAGACTATATTCAATTCAACATGGTCTATTATAGATATAAAAAAATCCGAAAAATTGACCCTTATATTAACATTAAAATAAATAATTATATTAGCATTTTTGTTTATTTTTTTGTAAAATTTTTAGTGATTTTTGAATTTTATATTTCATATATTTTTTTATTTTATATATATATATTTATAAATATTTATTTATATATATATATATATATATATATATATATATATATATATAATCAATAAAAATATTTAAAAAAGTGATAATCCTGCAAAGACACAAGGGACTACTAAGAGTGAATGAGAAGACTTTAGAAAGAAACTGGAAACAAAATCCTAAACAGGAAGCAAGGGATGAACCTGTACTCCTGTTCAAAAGACTGTGGAGGAAAATATATAGATAGAGAAAAAAAAATATTTGAACAAAATTGGAGGTAATGAGGTAAACTCCTCTTACCACTGATAACCCTAACCCTCATCCAATAACCCTGTACCATGAGTGGCTCTTGTTCCTTGTATTGGGTGAAAATTAATAAAAAAGATGAATTTTTTTTCTTTGCAATGTTTCCCCAGTGATTCTATTTAATTGAATAAAACATAGTTTTCTGATGCGCCATATCACCAGTGAAACATTGTAGAGGAAATCTAACAGATGGCAGCATCATATATACATTCCTTGGATATCGGTTTTGAGTTCAAATCTTGTCAGACTAATTCTTTTTTTTTTCCAGTCCCTGCTGCTTACTGAACAGTGATTGACTGTAAAATTACCTGGGCATTGCAATAACAATGAAATATAAACTAGTTAAAATTTATATATATATAAACTTTGAGAAATTTACACCCATTACAACTCAAATTTAATCAATTCTAAACACTCCCTTTGAAGATTTCTGCCAAAATTTAACCCTTCTATGGCTGTGGATGTATTTACCTTTATGAGACATGTTGCCTGCTGTTTACATTTAAGACATATTTCTTTATGAAACTTTCATTAACTACTGTCAAAATATAATTGTTTTTTTCATGACATACGTCTTTATAAAATTTACCTGCTCTTGATTTATGTATACATTTTCAAAATTTTATTTATTCTTCTTTATGAAACTTGTATTATCTGCTCTTGATATTTAAAAACACAAATAAAAATATATATATATATATATATATATATATATATATATGTTTCATTAAAAAAATAACTGACAATGTACTGCAGTTAAGTTCTTAATTTAATAATACAAATATAATAGCCTCATCCACATATAAAAAAAAGGCTAAAAATAGGTAGTATTTATTAAAAAAAAAATTTTTTTTAGTTAAAATTGCTTAGGAACATCAACTATGAACATTTTAAATATTTGTTAACCATGTTTAGAAGATAAAACATTCCTATAACTCTAGATACATACATAAAACAATTCATACATTCAGTCAAAATTAAAAATAAAATCATCCTTGATAATGGCTAAAAATATAACCAAAAGTGCTGGAAAATACAGAACCTTATGACAATTTCTACATAGGTCCAGAAAAGAAGAAAATTATAACACAAGAAAAATTAAATAAAAAACTTAACCATAATACTTAATCAGTTTTTCTTTTTCATAAAATTAGATGGATTGCTAAAATTAAATATATGAAAATATATATTTTATATATATATATATATATAAAGAAATTTTCAAGATGTATTTGCATATCACTATAAAATTTACATTGCATTGCTGTCTTTAATGTTCAAACACACACATGAATATAATTTTATATATATATATATATATATATATATATATATATATATATATATATATACACACACACTATTTTAAAAGCTGCCCCATCAGATGGTACTTAAGCTAGCTCCTGCGAAGAGCTCTTGATTGGGCCTTCATGACAATAGGTAGGGAAGATTAGGCATGATAGGCAACAATTAATTACAGAAGAACTCAAAATTGATCACTGCATTTAAGTATTGCATTAATATTTACACTTACTTTTTAAAAGTTCAGCAATAATTCTTCTGCCACCACTTAGTTTAAAGACATTTGATGTACGTAGGTCCTTACTTTCTGTACAAACAATTATTTTTATTTCATCAGTGACTTTCACTGGATTTCGCAATCAATTTTGATTATTCCAAAATTTATTCCCAAGTTATAAAAATTGTTATTGTACAAAAATTGCCAAAAACAATCACAGTAATAAAAACTTGGAAATCCAAAATTTAAGGATTGCATGTCCGGATCCAGCCCAGAATGTTTTTAATTTGCTCATGGAGTCGGCCTGATTCTAAAATGGTGTGCTATATTGGGCTATGGCCTCTAGGAGTAAAGTTGAAAAAGTGTGACACACTGACATTTGCATATATTATATAGATATATATGTTTTTAAGAAACAATGAAGTATCAGTTCCTAGTATTTGTGTTATAAACTAACATCTTGGCATACAATACAACCAGTTTGGTGATACATTTTTATTCTATTGTGTGTTGAGGGTATTGTTCAGTTTTGTTTGTACTTCAAGTATCCATAATTATCATCTGTGTCTTCATCATCATTTATTTGCAATAAATAGAAATTAAGTGGTTTCCCCAAAATGGGCCAAGCACAACCAGAAAATACAATAGTGAAATGTTTAACTAGATCAGTACTTAAATTATGTTTCATGCTTTTAGAAACCTCAATATATATATATACTGGCTGGTCTAATATTAAAACCAATTTTTTGTTTACAGAAAAATATTAAAATAGCAAGACAGTTTACTATCATATAAAAGAAATTTCTGACATATCGCAAGTTCTGTTGATACAACCAATCATTATACTTGTTGTTTTGAGACTTACTTCTTTGACTTGCCATTGGCTGAAAATTCAGTTCTTTTCAATCAACCAGTCAGTTTCTTTGTTAGTTTCTGACTTGTCTCACCAAGCCGATGTTGCCAGTGGCTGAAAGTTTATAGACACTTGCGGCATTTCCTTCTTTTCAAGTCAAATGCTTTCAGTTAGTCATTAGATGAAGCCCAATGGATAATGTATATTTTTTATTATTGCATAGGTTTCTAATAGATTTTATCTACACTTTAGTTGTTGAATTTTATTCATTATTTAGCCAGTGAACAGCAAGGAACAATTGTTCGACAAGATGAATAGTGTTTGACAGAGGGGCGGAAATGAAAACTTTTTGAATTGAATGAAGAGAATCAATTTATTCATAGCTGTCCTAAGTAGTATAAAATAGAAAATGCCAGATATCTATAAAAAAAAAAAAAAGGAAAAATAAAATGACAGAAAGTGAAGGGCGGCTGTTTGAGAGGTAGAAAGAAATGAAAGTCAAAAGAGTTAAACTACAGAAAACTAAGAGAGGGAGATAGAACAATGGAGATTTTAAAGAAAGTGTAAGACATATTGAATAAGGAAGAGGAGGGGAGAAAACAGAGGAGATAGAACAATGAAGATACTAAAAAGAGAGTGAGACATACTGAGTGAGGAAGAGGAAGTGAAAACAAAGCTGAGATAGAACAATGAAAATTGAGTGATAAGGAGAAGAGAGTGTGAGAATTATTAAGTGTGGAAGAGAAAGAGAAAACAGAGGAGATTAAATGTGAAAGAGTGGAATGGAAAGAAAAAACAAAGGGAAGAGATAGACATAAACATATTAAAGTGATATTGGAAGACATTGAGCAGGAAATGTAGAAACAACAATAGTAGAGAGAAGGGAGATACTGAAATATTAAAGAGAAAGTGTTAAAAATTGAGAAAGAAAGAAGAAAGAAAATAACTGAGGGGGATAGAAAGATATAGATGTTAGGGAGAATTGAGTGATATGGAGTAAGAAAAAAAGAACAGAGAGGTAGAAGTAGAAAAGAAAAAAAGAGAGTAATAGAAAGATACAGAATAAAATCTTGAAAGTGAGGAGTGGCTGTGTGTGAGAGAGTAAGAAAGGTAAACTAAACAGAGAGAGGATAGATGTTAAAGAGAGAGTGAGAAATATTGAGTGAAGAAAGAACTGAAGATATTATCTTTTTTGAAGGAGCAATAAACAAACAGAAGTGTGAAATAGATGTTAAAAACTGTTAAAAATCAAGTCTGAAAAAAGAAAAGATAGAAAGAGAGGGTGATAGAAAGATAGATGCCAGAGATTAATTGATTTGTTTTCTACAGTTTATCAACAGATTATTTAAAGCCAGAAAATATAAATTTTTTTTTGTTTCTTGAGATAATAATTTAGTGATACAAGTCTTACTAATTAACCCATAGCTGGGGGTGAAGAGGTGGAATCATACCCTTTATCAATGGAATTTGCATGTAAATGAATTTAATGTAACCAGTGAGAATTGGAACTTGACTCTAACAACTCTGAGTCATTCTCCATTACACTACTGGAAAGGAAATAATGTAAATAATAAAAAAAAAAAACCAAATTAAATGATGGGTGAAGTGTCATGGAAGAGGTTAAAAGTGTGATAAATTAGAAAGGATGAGAGGACAAAGATAAGAAAGTATAAATATCAGAATGAGAGTAAGCAGGTAAGCAGAGGAAAAAGAGTTAACTAATATGCAGATTGAGAGAGAGGACGGGGGGGTTGTCTAACGATAAATATTGACAGGCACAGAGAAAGGAAGATGTCTTGGCATTGAAAAATTTTCAAGACTACTAAAAAAGAGGAGAGAGTGAGATAGAAATGGATAAAGGTCTAAATGAGAGAATGAAAGGAAATAAGCGAAGAGGAATAAAATATTTTGATATAGAGAGATGTGGTATCTCTTGAGCATGTCTGATGAACTGCCTCTTCTCTTTGTGCCATTGTCTTGATAACGAACAACACAGAAAGAAGAACCAGTTCATCAGAGTGAGGAAGTTATAAAGGAGAGATGAGGTCCGGTGCAGAAAAGAGTAAATGTATGGATGATATATAATATATATGCACACACATACACCATTGGGAAAAAGAGATATTAATCTCAAGATAATGATGAAAGACACAAGAAAAAGAAGAGAAGAATGGGTAGATAATGGTGGGCAAATTATAAAGACTGCTAGAAAGGGGGAAAGATAGAATGAGTTATACCCCTTGACCAGAAGACATTTAGTTGTTTGCCCTCATGTCCCTGGGTCACATAAAAGCAGAATCTTACTTTATCCCCAATTAGTTTTTCTTTGAATCTACTGCCAATCTTTTACATTTGAAGTTGAGTGTATTTTAAAGGAAATATATCTACCTAAATTTGCAATTACCTTTTCAAGTTTTCATGGACATATTTAATGTGTTACAGATGAATATAGTATAAAGAAAAATGTATTATACATATGGTTCCCTGTACTACTCCAGCCAGTACCTCACTCCTCCTGCTATCTTTTACCTTTACAAGAACCAGATCAGGCCAAAAATGGAGTACTGCTGCCTTATATATGTGGGAGTTGCTCAGTTTTCACTTTCCAGTCTCAATCAAGTCCAAAAATGTCTCTGCGTCTTTGTGACAAATTATTTTCCACTCTGCAACTCCTGTCTCGCAAACAAGATGTTACAAGCCTCTCGCTACTCTATCACTATTTCCATGGTAAGTGTTCAGATGAACTACATTCCTTATTTGATAACCTTAATGACTAAGACCTGCCATGCCACACACATAGTGAACCATCCTCATTCCTTTCATATTCCCTTAGTGAGATGTACATTCCAAGAGGCTACTTACCCAATCATTACAATGTTAACCTGTTCAAGTCTAAGGTTAACTGTTATCTTCCACATATATCCATATAAGCTGTACATCTTATTCTGTAACCCACTATCTTGAGTTGCTCTTGAGTCTTGTACAGGGCTAACATCAGAAAAAAAAACCTGTTGAAACATAATCAGTCTGAGATCATCCATTTAAAAAATATGGACTAATTAAAAATACTGGACAATTTCTTTTCTTAAAACCATTTTTAATTTGTGCTCTTTTTCTTCATCAAATTAAACTGTTTCTCATTTGTTTACTGATATAATACTGACCAAAATGGAGCAATACTGGCATATCTGGGCTGGAACTGCTCGATCCTCACTTTCCAACCTTGAAAGAGTTCAAAATGTGGTTTTGTGGGAAGTGGGTTATTCTCCACTCTGCAACCTCTTACTCACAGACACAACATTGTAAACCTATTGCTACTCTGTTGCTATTTCCATAGCCAATCCTCAGATGAGCATGATTCTTTCATTTCAACACTTCAGACCATTACAAGTAGCATATGCTATACAACTTCCACATGACTGAATCATCCTTGTTTCCCCTGTATTCCAAATATCATGAGAAAGTTCCACTCAGACAGTTTTTTTTCCCAAGGACTGCTACTTTGTGGAACAGACTCCTGCATGCCTCCTTGAATGCTACAACCTTAAGTTTAAGTCAACAGTCAGTCATTATCTATCCTCCCTATCCTCACTTCATACCATCTCACACCTTATTCGCTATAATCATTTTAATACTAACTGTCCACTTTCAGTGGCTTTTGATTCTTGTTTTGGATGAACTTCAGTGTGAAAAACATTCAACTAGAAAATCCTCTTTCAAATGTGAGCCATATGAAAAGGTGAAATGTCTGCATTGTTATCAAGACAAAACCTGTCACAGCTTTATAATACAGGAGACATGGTACTGCTCAAGAAAATTAAGCATGATCGGTACCATAGGTCTACACCATGTGATTGGCAAAAAGACATAAATAGATATCAAACATGGGGTACATGCATAATAATGTATCCTTTCAATTTGTCTATTTATCATGGCAGTCATGGAGGTCTGCCAGATTCTAATATCATGCCTGTATCCATCAAGCAAATATTGTCAACTTCCTTCTACAGTACTGACTATGATAAACACTTCACAAACACTATATATTAGTCGGACTTCTATCAGTAAATCATTATTATCTCCCCCAAAATTCTTACAATCTATATTTCCTGGCTTTAAATAACCTGTAAAAGGTTGATAAGCTGTAAAAAAAAAACAAATCTGTGTATCAGAAAGGCAGACAAAGCATGAGGAAGAAATAAATTTATGATGAATTTTGTCATGGATCAGGGTGGGTACTTTTGGTTTGAATTTAGAGTCTGAAATGGAAAACTAATGATACAAAGCAGACACTCTGATACTTAAGAAGTAATATTAGTAGAAAGAGATTGTAAATTAGGGAAAGCAAAGAAAAATAAAAACAGAGTTGAAGCAAAAATAAAATATTTCAACAAATTCTTGGTAATGGTCAACCAAGAATAGATTCAAAATTTATTTGTATAAACAAAGAATAAGATGGAAAAACAGTTATTAAAACAAGAGTGATAGTAAAAGGGTGTTGTGCCATAGTACCTATTCTTTAGTAATGGACTCTCCCATAGATAATAAGTAGGAGTAGCAGTGGCAAGTCTGGCAGAACGGTGTTGAGAACGTTAGTCGAGATTCGGACATTTGAAGTACCAACCATCACAACTAGATTTGCTGCGTCATTGACTATTATTTTTCCAAGTTCCTAACGTTTTGTACGACTTACTAGAAATACAAGCCTCCACTGTGAAAATACTCCACAACAAAGGGTTTCATGATACTGAAGTGAGCAACAATAGAAGGGATTCCTCTACATGGTTCAGAGAAAGTTTTATGATTACCATTGGAATATCTTCAAAGAGATGAGTTTGTAAATCAGTGGATGTTAAAACTGCTTTCTTGCAAAGAGAGAAATTTAAGTAAGTCCACTTGTGACCTTGTTTAGAGGCTACTGAACTACAAGCTGGAAGTGTGTCTGCAGAATTTCCAGACAACTCTTGTGGATGTTATTTAATTGTCAGAAAGGATATAATAAAGCCAGGAGAACATTCTTCGATGTATGATCATGTCATTTTTACATGGATTTTAGCCATAAATTGTATGGCATTATCACCACCCATGCTGAACTCTTTGATTTTGTTGAATTGGAGATCATTCATACTGCTGTTGTGAAACTGTTTTTACAGTTCCTAAGACTAAACCTGAAGGATCAACCTATTTTTATTGGCTTGAGCAAAAAGAAAAAGTATACTTTTGGGTAAGGTAAATCTATGAAAAAATCTGGTATCTATGCTATTTTAATGAAAGAATATTGCCAGATAAGGCTATAGAAGTCAAGCTAAACTGGCTGACCAATATAAACTCAACCAGATATGAACAAGGATATAATTGAACTAAGTCCTGAATTGAAGTGGAAGAAAGTTGACTGCATTGTGTCGACATATCTTCTTTTATGTGCCATGTCCTTTCAGGATATAGATGATCATGGTCCTCCACATCTTCCTGTCCCTTGTAGCTCTTAATAAGTTTTGTCTTTTTGTTATCTCTTCCAAACACTGTTCTATCATGAGCAAGCAGATAATAATGTTAGAAAAGCTGAGAGAGAAAAATTTGAAATAGTCATTCCTGTTTTAGGTAACTTTGAAAAAATAAATACAGTGTGATAGGAAAATTGTCTCTTTTTATATTTTTAATTCTGCTCATGTGTCATTTGTTTCTGCTTTTGTTGACTGCACAGTAAAGTCGAGTCTGTTGGGCACTGTTTATGATAAAAAGAGCACCATGACGCAATTCACTCTGCCAGAAATTTGGAAACAGCATGCTGTACTGCTTTGTATTCACATTGGAAGCTCTAATGCAAGTATTTTAGAGTGTTTGGGTGTCAATGTGTGGATACTGCAGAGGATCCGGAAAGAGTTGGATGAGTCTAATGGCGATTATGAAGGTACAGCAGCTCAGAAACCTCACTCTGATTGTTATGATAAGAAAAGAATTTGTTGGTGAGGGCCTCAGACTCAACACAGAGGCTGACATCAAGTGCCTTGAGGAGGTAATGCTATCCTGGGTCAAGAGGGTGGCTGCGGGGAGACCCTGTGTCTGGCAAGAGGACACTGCACCATGCCACACAAGCAAGAGAACTCAGTCATGACTGTCAGACAATTTCTGCGGCCACATCACTACTTACATCTGTTATTATGTGTGGGGCACAGTTGAGCGAGAGACCAACAAAAATCCTCTTTAATACCAAATATGAATTGAAAGCAAGGATTATGGCAGCATTCACCAATTTAAACAAAGAAATCATTCAGAAGAGTTGCAGCAGATTCCAAAGTCATCAAGAGGCAGTGTTTGAAGCCAATGGCCATTTTACTGAATAAATTTACTCTTTGTCTGCCCATAACAATATTTTTGTGTAATTTTGGTAAATATATCTGTTAAAATGAAATGTCAGTGTTATTTTCATTTCTGTGAAATGACAATTTATCCATCATACCCTGCTTGATGACAGTGATGACTCATTTGCTCATCTATTGGATGGAGCATCACAAGGAGGATGTACATTATTTTTGGTTGGTCATAATAGCAAGTACATGCCAGTTTCTTGGAAGTCTAGACATATTAGGAGAGTCATCAAAATTCTTTGCTGAAACATTGGCCAATATTTTCTACAGAAATTTTTTACTTCAACTCTACGGTTTAGAAGATGAAGCTGGAAATGTGGCCATTATCTGTTACCCTAATTCTTTTCTATATATTGTATTCCCCCAATGAAATTCTAAAAATTTTATCACAATCTTCAGGTCATTACACCTGCTCTGAGAGTTTTTTTCCTATGTAGCACAGATGAAAAAAATGGGCAACTATTAATGAAAATATTAGTAAACTTAGCACATTCACTTAGTTTTTTTTTTATTTAGCAATAAACTAATCACAGATAAGATGCAAATTCTTTTTATATAATCACTGAACATTCT